AAACTCACCCACGATGGTTCACCCACCCTGGTTTAGGGCAAGGGTTCTTGTGCCAACCCAGCCCATCATAGTTTATCCATTAAACCATAGCTAGATAAACCATGGCTTGGTGCAATGGGCTGACCTAGCCATCAATTCAAATACTAATCTCCTTTCAAATTAGATAAAATTAAGGTAAATTGGTTCTAGTTTTGACTGGGTTAGCGTCGGCTGAAATTTGTCTGGATCCAACCAATGGTATTTTATTGAACAAGCCGTAGTAAAGCTACCTGTGTGTGTAAACCAGGTGTAGAATTGGATAACAGAATTGGACAATCAGATCTGGCACATTAAAAGGAAAAATTCACTTATTCATAGTTTTTGCTCTAAAGATTCTAGCCTTCTAGTTTTATGACACAAACGTCATATAGAACTTTTTAGCTCTTTTAAAAAAACTATCTTTTAAAAATCAGATCTTACTTTGTTGTTTCCATTTGCGCCAATCAACCTTTTCTTCTTTTCCCTAGAAAATTAGTGCAGAGGCTCGGTCAGTTTGGAAGACGGAGATTAACTAGCAAGCCCAAGTTTCCCAATTGTTCCCCTTATTCTGTTGCCCAAATGCTTCTGGTAACCCAGCCACAACAGAGCTGCCTCTTCTTAACTGGCTTCCCAAGTATGGAAAACATGGATTTATTGTATTTCATTACTGATCTCTTGTTTACCATCTGAAGCCCTTCAAAATCCCTGTTTTGCTCATCTGCCTGTAAAACCTGAAGCCTTCCCACACACACCCGCCTTTCAAGATGGGTTCGCAAAACATGCTAAACCCAGGTTAAAAGAGCAAAACTATCAAATAATAAAAGTGGGGTAAAAATTGAATAAATAAATAAAAAAAGGGAGAGAGGGAAGGAAGAAAGGAGGTAAGAGAGGAGGGGAAGGGAGGAGGAATGTTATAAATAGATTATATAGACAAACATACAGATATGGAGATGGTAGGTAGGTAGGTAGGTAGGTAGGTAGAGATAGATAGATGATAGATAGATAGATAGATAGATAGATAGATAGATAGATAGATAGAT